TTTCCATGCACAAATTGTCTTTGAATGGCTTGTTTATTGCAATATCAAGAGTCTAGAGATAGGCCGTAATTCCTACGGGAATCATTATCTGACCTGTTTTTCTTTGGTGAAGAAATGCCTTCATGTCTTTAGTACAGTGAGTGCTGGCTGCATCCCAGACTAGCAGACCTCTTTGGCTCCCTCGCATAACAAGCAGCAGCATTAAATCGACCCACTTCCTTATAACTGCTTGTGTGGCTCAGGCTTTTTCAGTTTCAAGAATAAAAACGCCCAAAACACGTTCAATCTTTTCCTTCTTGCCCTTAGAAATGATTAAAGGTGGGATTTTAGTGCCATCCAGATGAATTGCCAAAATACAGGAAACACATGCACTTTTGTAAGCAGTGGAGGGAATGTACACTAAGGAGGCACCCCGCTGTTCAATTGTTGTTTGAGATGATTGGCCCATAAACATTGCAGTTTCATCCATAGTAATCATGTTGGAAAGATTGTATTTAGAGAAGTCAGCATCATCAATAAAGGACTTGAATGCAAGTGCTCACTTAATAACTTGAGTATCTTCCAACCTAAACAATGCTGTAGATCTTCTTAAAGACAGTTCACTTCGCTGAAGGAAATTATCCAGGCAGTGTTGTGATGCTTTGAAGTCTTTGGGGGCTATGTCAAACTGTGGTGCCATTGCAAGGTCAAATTCTTGGATCTGAGCCCTATTCACAACCAAAGCCTCTGCTCTCCTGTCAACAACCCATTCACAAATCAGGTCTTCCAGCTCAGAAAATAATGGTTGCCGACCTGATCCACACTTGCGCTTTTTAGCATTTCCCTTGTCCACTTGTTCAATGAGGTTACCATACTCTGCTCGCCATTTTTGGACCAATCAGATACTCAACATCTTCTCTTTGCAGAAAGCAGTAAGATTTTGGCCCCAAGAGTTTTCCACGATTCCTTTCTTGTACTCCACGGAGTAGCTTTTTCTTTTTGCGCTCATTTCTAGGGATAAAAAAAAAAGAATTGGGGTGTCAAGGTTGGGGGAGGGAGATCACTTAAAATGACACAGGGGGATCAGAGGGGGGATTACCATTTTAGTAACCCCTTTTGATCCTCCTGTGTCATTTTGATTGCCCCCTCTGATCCTCCTGTGTCATTTTAAGTGACCCCCTTCCCCCCACCCCTGTGCCAATGAACACCTTCACCAGACATCCCCCCATCCCTTTATCAGACATTTACCCCCTGGGGCCTGCCTGGGACTGTCACTGGGCTTTCTGGGGCCTGGATCTGGGCTGGAGCAGGGTCTGCCCCTGACTGAGAACCTTCAGTCATCATGAGGGCGGCCGTGAACATCAGGTAGTGTCACCAGAGACAGACCAGCACTCACCACCTTCTCCACGTCCCTTCCACTCTAATCCTTCTGTTCTTCTACATGCATCTGCAAAAGTCTCCTCCTCTCTTCCACCCTGCACTCACCTCTCACTCCGACCTCCGTTCCGCCTCCACACAGCAGTGATGTCAGGACTTCGCATAACGTCACTGGTTGCTAGACTTCAGTTGGGGCGGCCCTAGCGACCAGTTTACAGTAAATTAATTTTCATTCAGAGACAGATCCTAGGGTGGGCCTTATTTTGGGGGGGGATGCCTTATATTTCACTCAGAAGGAAACCTGTAAGTAGACCTTATTTTCGGAGGATGTTTTATTTTTGGGGAAACAAGGTAGTACATGGGTCATGTTTTCTTATCCACTCAGCTACCCTATGTCTTTTGATTGGGGCATTTAATTCATTTACATTTAAGGTTGTTATTGGTAGGTAATTGCTTGTCACCATTTTTATTCTTTATGTCTGTGTTCCTTCTTCCTTTATATTTTTTCTTTTTATAGAAGTTTATTGCTAGTTTGGTGGTAATAAACTCCTTTACTCCTTTTTTTTTTTTTTTTTTTTTTTTTTTTTTTTTTTTTTTTTTTTGTCTGTGAAACTCCTAATTTCACCCTCCACTTTGATTGATAGCCTTTCTGGGTACAGTATTCTTGGATTCAGACCCTTGCTTTACATAATTTTTGTCTATTTAATTCCATTCTCTTCTTGCCTGATGTGTTTCTGTTGAGAAATCAGTTTATAATCTAATGGGAGATCCCTTGTAGGTAATTTTCTGTCTCTCTCTGGCAGCCTTTAAGTTTCTTACTTTGTTGCTGGTGTTTTTCAATTTAATTATAATGTGTCTTATTGATCTTTTTGGATTCATCTTATTGGGAATTCTCTGAGCTTCTTGGACTTGTATGAATTTTTTCTTCTTCCTAATATCAGGGAAGTTTTATATCACTATTTCTTCAGAGGTCTTCTATTTCTTACCCAGTTTCCTCTCCTTCTGGGACCCCTATTATGCAGATGTTATTTCATTTTCTTTTGTCCCAAAGTTCCCTTAGGCTCTTGCCCTGTTTTTGAAAACTTTTCCCCCCCAATTGCTGTTGTGCTTGGCTATTTTTTCCTACCTTGTCTTATAGCTCACTGATGCAGTTCTCCTAGTCTACTCTAGTCTACTTTTGATGCTTTCTATTTTGTTCTTTATAGCAGTGGTGTCATTTTTCATTTCTTCTTGGTTCTCCTTCATTTCCTCTTGGTTCTTACATATATTGTTGAATTTATCTCCCAACCTTTTCAGTGCCTTATTACTATTGCTCTGAATTCTTTCTCTGACATATTACTTGCCTCCATTTCATTCACTTCCATTTCTGGTTATTTCTGCTTTGCCTTCCTATGGGGGCTGTTTCTTTGTCTCCCCATGTTCGCTCCTCTTAGAGTGTCTGGTTATGTAGCTCTCTATCTTCTGTGTTGACTCTTGGTGATCTCTGATCTTTCCATCCATGGATTTACCAGCTGTGTTTAATTTGCCAATTCCATATGGATATTATTCCAGTCAGCTGTTCTTTCTATCTGCTCTATGTGAAGGTGCAGGGGCTGTCTGTATTCAGCACTGCTTTATCTCCCCTTGCAAAACAATTTAGGCACCATGGCTGGGGATGCTGGAGTGTCAGGTTTTGTTGGTTCTCAGCTGAGGCAGATAGCCCCTTTGCATTGTGCTTGTAGAATCCTGGGAGGTATCCAAAGTCTCCCCAGTTGAAGGTAAGGCTGGACTTCCAATCACAGCTGCTCTCCCTTTTAAGATGTCTCTGTGGCAGAGTTGGCCATTCCCAGAGAGATTTCAGCAGCAATAGAAGCTATCCAGCCAGGGGAGTCTGGTCTGTCAGTCCCCAATAGTTCTGTGGAATATAGTTATCCCTCACTCACAAATACAGATACTCCCTGCATATCTGCACACTCTCTTTTCACTCTCTCACTCACACAGTATCTTGCAGCCTGCCATCCTATTGGCCACATCCTCCATCTCCTATTCTTTCTTAAATACCTTATTAAGGTGGCATCAAGATCTGATTTTGGAGCTAGAAAAATCTGCCCAATCATTGTTCATCACCTTTTTAAAAAAATCAGAAAATGTATCTAATTAAGCTGAACTTTACCTTTTATAACTTCCACCCATAAAACACTTTTATCTGGTAGATATTTTATTTGTTGTTAGAGATCATGCCTGCCACTCTCCCTCTCCACCTTATTACCTATAAGTTATCTTAAACAATATCTCCTTCCATCTTGGTGAGGGGAATGAATGCCTCCACTTCCATTATATTTAGACTTAATTTATGAGCTATTGAGGATCTGATATGTGTTTGAAACCTTAAATATAAATTATTAAATGTGTGGGCTCATTTAGTCATCACCTTAAAAAATCAATTTTTATTATTAATGCTTCATTATTGTTTTTCTTTTTTGATACACACAAGTTTTATATCTAACTCATTCATTTTTTAAAATATATTTTTTTATTGATTTAAGAGAGGAAGAGAAAGAGAGAGAGATATATAAACATCAATGATGAGAAAGAATCATTGATTAGCTTTCTCCTGCACTCCCCCTACTGGGGATAGAGCCCACAACATGGGCTCTTGACCTGAATGTAACCTGGGACCTTTCAGTCCACAGACTGATGCTCTATCCACTGAGCCAAAATGGCTAGGACTTTATCTCATTCATTTTCACAAATATTTATTCAGCGTCTATTGAAAGTTTAGACACTGTACTAGAGACTATAAGAAAATATTCATGGTTATACCCTTGCTTTAACTATTATAAATTAAGAGGAACTTAACACCAAATGAACACAAGAAAATGTTGGACATGCACGAGAATTAGAGACCTAATTTGGGGTGCATCAAGGGGTCACATATAAGACCTCTTTGTGAAATATGAGGTGATGGGATAAGAATCCTAAGCTTTGTGTGTTTGTTACTTTTTTTCTTTATGTTTGATTTTTTGTTTATAGATATGTCAAAGAGCTTTGAATGGTCTTATCATAATTTCATTGCACTTTTCAAAAAAGTAGATTTTTCTATTTATACGAATGTTTTCTTTGCTGATAATAGCACTGGATGGACATTTTTGATCACATGATCTCTCTATAATCATTTCCCATAATTCTACCATGTGAAAATTTTTTCAGAAATAACATTGCTAGGGCAAAAACTAAGGCTTTATAAAGAATAGTTTTAGAAACATTTATTTTCTAAAAGTTGTTTATTTGATTATCAGCCATGAATTAATATGGTATACTCACCTTTGCCTTACCAGTACAGAATATTATTAATAATGTTTTACGGGTAAAATTAAATATACATATACATACATACATACATACATATATGTACATTCAAACATGTTTAGGAACATATCTAAAAGTATAACTATTTTAATATATCAATATTAATTAACTCTGTTTTTATTCTATGATGTCAATTTACATAGGAAATTCCTCCACACATATTTAATTCTTACATGAACTTGCACATATAAAGTCTCAATACATAACATTACTTCACTTAGCTTACTTTAATGAATTTACTGCATTAAAACAAATGCAAATGAGTCTGCCCATTTATTGCATATTTTTCTTTTCAGGAATACCACATATTGCAGCAAAGTTGCATTTCCTCTGGAAGTTGTTCAAAAAGATAGCTGCTTCAAATCTCCAATGAAAGTCCCAGTGCATAAACTATATATAGAATATAGTATTCAGAAGATCACTTGTCCAAATATAGATGGATATTTTCCTTCCAGTGTCAAACCAGACATCACTTGGTATATGGTAAGCAAACTGCCATTGAGGGCACTTTACCCTCTCTAAATGACAACAATTATTTGTTGAGATAATGTAAAACTGAAAATTTTCTAATCAGATGTTTTATATATTCTTTAGTGACTTTATACAATTTTTAATGCTTCCTCACCTTATAACATTTCAAAGGATGTGCTGGAGGACACATGGCCTCAACCCAGCATTTCTTAAATTATGTTCAGTGGACTACTACACCTACCTTGGTCCTATTAACATCATCTGAAATACAATTTGAGAAATGTTTCCCTCTTCCACTCTGCTCAGTGAAGTAGGGAGCTGCTAATTCATCTGGTGAATTTTAATTTCTTAACTAGTCAGTATTTTGTTACTTCTATGTGTTTCATGTTTGCCCTCATTTATAGACACAATCCACCTGTGGTCTCTTCTACATCTCAGGGATTTGGGAAGTGTTTAATAAAAATATGACAGTGTTAGAATGTGGCATGTGTGATAAAAGCGACATGGTTGTTGTTTTTAAAATACATTTTTATTGATTTCATAGAAGATGGGAGAGGGAGAGAAGAGATAGAAACACCAATGATGAAAGAAAATCATTGATCTGCTACCTCCTGCACATCTTTATTAGGGGTCGAGCCTGCAACATGGATGTATGCCTGACTGGGAATTGAACCATGAACTCCTGGTTCATAGGTTGGTGTTCAATCACTAAGCCATGCCAGCTGGGCTAGATGCCTACATTTTTAACCTCTTCAAATATCCACATAAGCCAAAGCTAAACTCCTGAACAACATTTAAAACAAAATTCAATATTAAGTTATCCATAAGAATCACTTTCAATAAAACAAGTGAGTCAAGCCAAAAACACAACCTATGTAAAATCAGTGTCTATAGAGAAAAGTAGTAGGTGGAAATAGTGTGGTATGAGGCAGACTTGAGTGGTCAAAAACCAATAGATACTCACTGGAAAACATGGTAAGCCAATGTAAGAACGACAGCTGAATTTGGGAAGGGTGCATCCAAGGTGTCTATAATAGGAATTTCTGAAGGGTTTAGAATTGTTTTTTGTGCCTTGGAACTCTGCAAAATAACTACCAAAGTGAGGAGAAATGGCTGGAAGTGGAATCATAAGTAGACAACATCAGAATAATGCAGGGGCAAAAGTAAGTTTACAGTTGTGAGCATGGGAAACACAGAGTTTATTCTTGTATTCTTACTTATTAATTATGGTATTATTTTTCATATAAACAAATATAAACCTACTTTTGCCCACCCTGTAGAGAGGAAGGGAAGAGAAGAATGGGAACAGCAGAACAGTCAGAAAATCTCAAGACCATACTTTTGAAGAGGAATCTCTCTGAAGGTAGAAAATCCTGCCAGATTGTAAAACAAACAAACTAGCTTCCCATGAAAATGAGCAGCCAGGTAAAGCTACCATTCAAAATTATAAGAAAAATGAGAATAAGAAGCAGAATAACATTCTGCAGGAAAAAAAAATCATGCCAGAAGGATATATTGTAATTCACTATTTGAAAAATGAGCCAAAAATTAAGAAATGGTACAAGATGAGAAGAATAACAAATAAATTTGAATTATAAATGTCCAGAAATTATAAAGCTCAGTAACAACTTAGAAGAAAGTCATTTTAGAAATGAAGCTACATTAAGAGGAACATCACAGCAAATGAATACACTAATCAGGCGTCTTCAAACTACGGCCCTCGGGCCACATGCGGCCCGCAGAGGAGTCTGATCCGGCCCGCCAGGTTTTTTGGGCAGTGAGCGCAGCCGAGGTGTTACAGTAGGAATTAGTAGTTCATATAGTCCAGCCCTCCAGCTCTCTGAGGGACCGTGATCTGGCCCCCACTTTAAAAAGTTTGAGGACCCCTGCGACTAGTTGATGCCTTAAGATAAACAGAAAGTGGAAGAGAGAAAATAATTTAAACCAAAGTTAAATGATGAATAAAAATAAGAAGGGTAAAATGTATATACCAAAATCATATAAAGTAGACTTTAAAACAATGAGTACCATTGAAGATAAAGGGGAATTTTCAGAATAATAAAAGGGGCAATTCATCAAGAAAGCATAAAAATAATAAAAGTATATGGGTCTAGTAATAGTGTTTCAAAATGCATGAAGCAAAAGTTGATAGAAGTAAAAGACTAAAAAGACAAATCCATAATCATAGTTGAAAAATTTAACATTTGTCTGTAAATGATTAAGTCATTAATAATGAAATTACTTAGGAGCCGATTTTAAAAGTTTTCCATTAGCCAAAATGCAACAACTTTAATTTTAACAAGAATATTAATTACAATATGTGAAATACCATGAATTAAGTTTAAATCCAATAAGTTCTTAATGCTATTCCAAAATGCTTAGTTGATTACCTTTGGATGATGATAGGATGTCAATTTGTTATCTTGAAAACTAAATAATAAGCGAGAAAAATCAAGTATTTATTCTGCCTTTCCTGTAAGAAATGTACATTTAGTTATGAAATGTTGCAGAGAAGTATGTTTTTATAAAGTTATATCATCAGTTTGAAACCACAATGACAATAACTCTAAGCATTAAGCATCAATGACAGCTACCATCACAAAAAGGGTAGCAGCCAGGCACATTCCTTCTGATGAAAGAATAGTATCAATTATAATTCTGCCAAGTAGATTTTAGATACTGCTGCCATTTTGCTAGAAATATAGAGCACAGAAGAATATATTGGTCTGCACCACAAGTTTGTAGTCAGCAAAATCTGGACTCTGGAAAACTATATACCAAATGCCTTGGGTTATTTCAACAGAAATTCTGTGAGAAAAAACAAATGTATGATGTGGGAACATATTGATTAAATGAAACATATAAGACAAATTTAAAAATTGATGTGACTACAGTGTCTAAGGATGTACTATAGTTGATACAATTAGAAAAGAAAACAAGGAAGTGATTTTACTATAAAAATATATAGGTAGTGGCTACTTCAGCAGGTTGCAGAAGAGCTGGGACTGACATAGGACATTTGGAAAATAACTGGCAACATTCTACTCCTGAACCTGAGTGGTGTTTGCTTTATAATCATTCATTAACTCCTGTTTCAAGTTTTTCTGTATTGTATCATCATATATAATAAAAGGCTAATATGTAAATCAATCAAATGGCAGAATGACCGGTGGCTATGACAGGCACTGACCACCAGAGTGTAGATGCTTAACACAGGAGCTGCCCCCTGGTGGCCAGTGCGCCCCCACAGGGGAGTGTCACTCATCCAGAAGCCGGGCTCACAGCTGGCGGGCACAGTGGCAGTGGTGGGAGCCTCTCCCATCTCCATGGCAGCACTAAGGATGTCCAACTGCCCACTTAGGCTCTCTCCCCACTGGCAGTTGGATATCCCCCCAAGGGTTCCCAGACTGCTAGAGGGCACAGGCCAGGCTGAGGGACTCCCGCTCCTCCACCAATTGCAAGAATTTCATGCCCAAGGCCTCTATTTCTATTATAAAAACAGCTAAGAAAAGAGAAAAAGAGAACGAAGGAAACAAAGAAAAAGAGCAAGAGAGATTTAAGACCAATTGCAGAGTAAGAATCTTAGATCATGCTTTGTTCAAATAAACTATAAAATAAGTTATGAGAAAATCAGGGCAATCTGAACAGAATATTAATGATATCAATGAATTATTATTACTGTTTTAAACTGTGATAACAGCACTATAGTTATGCTTGCAAAAGAAGCCTTATCATTTAGAGATACATAGAAATATTTACAAATGAAATTATGCAATATCTGTGATTTGCTTTAAAATATCTTGGGCCACAGTGAGTGGATATAGATGAAATAAGACATGGTCTAAATTAATACTTTTGAGACTAGGTTTGGGTACGGGGGATCATTGTATATTTTCTCCATGATTATCATTTTTTTATTGTAAAAAGCATAATAAATGATTTAAAGGGTAATATTAACAACTAGAGTCCTAGTGCACGAATTTGTGCATGGGTGGGGTCCATCAGCATGGCTGGTGATCAGAGCTGATGGGAGAGGGCCGCCTAGAGTGGGGAGAGGCCCTGGAAGTTTGGCTTGCTGGCAGGGGGGAGGGATGTGGGAGGTTGGCCAGTGGCCAAGGGAGTTTGGCTGGCTCTAGAAAGTTGGCTGTGGGAGCTCACTGACCATCAGAGGGTAGTTCTTGCATTGAACATCTGCCCCCTATGGTCAGTGCACATCATAGCAAGTGGTCATTTGGTTATTTAGTGATGCAGTTGCTTATGCTTTTATATATAAATACTTTACATTAATAAGTATATACTCAAGTGGTTTTTTTTTAAATGTGTTCATCTAGTTACCAAGGTCTCTTATCTCTAATTTTATTCTCTTTTTTATATTTTGAATACTCAATAGTCTGAAAAAATAATTTTATTTTTTTACCAAAGGATCTCCCAATTTAATTGACAAGTTTATAAATAAGAATAATTTACATTCTTATTGAAAAGCAGAATTCTAAGTTCCAAAGAGAATTTGTTTGTTTTAAAAATGGAGAAATTTACATGCATTGACTTAAATTAACTATTTCTTAAAGGCAAAATTATGCCATACTTATCTTTGTATTTTCAATGATTTCAAGATTATTTTTTTCTTTTTTGTTTTCCCTGGTTGGAAGGATATCAGTGATATTAACCAAAGTATGAAATAGCAGAGGAGGAGCATGTTTGGGGAGATTGAAAGATTTAGACAATGTCATATTGAGTTAGAGGTGGCAGTGGCCAGTAGGTAGTGGTATATGTGTGTGAATCTGGAGCTTAGAAGAAAAGTCAAAGTTGGAGTCAGAGAACTGGATCCATCTATATGATAGTTGGAGCCCTTAAGGACTAAGATCAAAATCTAGAGAGAATGTTCATGGGGTGAATGAAAACAGAAAGCCTGGAAAGAGGACTGAGAGAAAAAAGTCACAGTGGTCAAACCATCTCCATTGCAGATAACCAACAATGTTCAGGTCGCTAAGAAGAAACAGGTGACCAGCCAT